TCGACGTCATAACAAACTCGGAGTTGTGGAGAGGAAGAATGCGGTTGTCCGTGTGCTAATCCAACGTCCGCTGAATGATGCGTCAAACTCTTCAGCGTGCGTTGTCGACTCGGTCGAAAGGAAAGACGTGGTCTCACGTGCCTTGTTCCTCAGCAACGTTCTATACGGAAGCAAGACACTAAGCAGCTTCGATGACTCGGGGTTACACTCCGTCGCTTGTTGGCCTTCCCCAAGCAAAGTTGTCTGCTGATCTCATCACTGCGCATAACGAGCAAGTGGAACGAAGAGCTTGGAGGCTTCTCGATAAGTCCCGGTCTCCACAAGTGGTTCAGGCTGATCAGCTATCACATGATGACCCCGTGTATTACTTCAAGCGAGGTCCCAAGTTTGGCTCGTGGGAACACGCCTACGTGCGGAACCAACAGTCTCACTTCGTTGTCCTTGCAAGGCGACAAGACCATATTGGCAAGCCCATAAGGTCGGCATATGAGGATTACGGAAAGCCCCGTCCGCTCCTCTACTGGCTGAGTTGGATGGCATGGACTTCGTATTCCCGCGGTCGTACTCCGTCATTGATGAGGACTTTGAAGAACGCATGTTCCCTCCAACATCGCCACCTCCCCCGCTCTTCTCGGAGTTAGAAGATGTGCTGAATTTGGATGACGTGTTGCCACCAAACAGACCGGAAGCGTCTGCAAGCCGGCGAGAAGCGGCGAATCAAGCCAGCCTCCCGGACTTGGAGCCCCCCGGCGATCCGACGGACATCTCTGAGTTCAGGGAAGAAGAGGCCCTGTGGGTCTCCCACCCGACATCAAGGAGCTTACTAGCATCCTCGAAGTCGACGAGGTTGAACAACCCTCTGGTCGACGTCAATATAAAGTCCGTCAGTCGCTGCAACTACTTGTTCGGAACACGGTATCCAGTCTCAGCTCCAACCATGAGTCTCGATTTAAACTCAACACACGAGCCTCCACAGCCGGAGAAAGACATAGGGAACACTGCAGTAGTAGCTCCTTCGAATCTAACTTTCCACCTTGCATCGTCGAAGCAAAAGGTCCTTCAACAAATTCAAGAGGTCGTTGGGAATAAGCCCACCTCTGAATTCAAACTCCAATTTGCTTCGCGATGGATCGTCGACCAGGCCATAGCCGAAGAGAAAGAGAACTACGCACAAGCCGAGGCATCCAAAGAAGTTCCGTATGGGGAACTTCCACGAAATGCCAATGTGATTTCCTCCCACCACTTCTTTCAAGTCAAGACCGACGGAGAAGGACGAAAGCTGAAGCTGAAGTGTCGCCTTGTCCCACACGGGAATAGGGATCGAGACAAGGAATTTTTCCGCAAGAACTCTGCTACAGCTCAGTTCCCAATCATTAGGATCGTTTTCTTCCTTGCGGCGATAATAATGTCTTTCTCAATTGCCTCAATAGACATCAAGGGAGCTTACTTACAGGCTGGTCAATTTCCCAGAGACATATATGTCAGACCACCTAAAGGTTGGGACTCGTGCGCCCGCACAGTCTGGAAGATCCTCAAGCCTGCATACGGGATTGTCGAATCCGGACGCCTATGGCAACTCGTTGCCGAAGAATGGATGTCCACTCAAGGATTCGTACAAGTACCGGGTCTTCTCCAACTATTTTTCAAATACAATCCCGCGGGATCGATTGACCTCCTTGTGGCAAAGGTTGCCGATGACTTTCTTGTAATTGGTGTCCTTCCCCTCATTCACCAAATTCACAAAGCCATATCCCGCAGGTTCATTGTCGGACGCTACGTTGCCAATAAGGACTTGGTTTTCAATCGTCTTCATATCCACCAAGAGCCTTGTGCCTCGGTGAGCATTAACATGCAGGAGTACGTGGAAAAATTCTTCCAATCGAAGTGTCAAAGGAAAGGAGAAGACAGAACCAAGACAAGTGCACAGCTTCAGAGTTGACAGCGTATCAAGCTCTTGCTGGAAGTCTCAACTTCCTCGGACACTGCATTCTCCCACAAGCGGCTTTCGCCACCAGCTACCTTCAGAAAGCTGTTGGGTGCTTGAAGGCGGCCGACCTCATAAATGGGAACAAGCTGCTTGCTGAGATCAAAGCGCTTTCGGCGATCCTCTCATTCCGCACGCCGTCGTCTCTCTTGCATGCTTCCTACCTCGCTTTCTCCGATGCCAGTCAAGGTAGCTCCTCATATGGGCAGACAGGATATGTCTCCGGCCTATACCTGCCAGCAGGGGGTGCGGGGATCTATCATGTCCTTGACTGGATCAGGTGCAAGCAGAAGCGTGTAGCTTTTTCTTCTATGGGGGTGGAGATACTCGCCGCCGCAACCTCATCAGACAGAGGCTCGCTAATGGCGGAGAGCCTGCAATCTCTCCACAAGGCCACGGTCAAGCTTCCCTTCGTGCTGACGGTGGACTCACACGGGTTGTACTCCACCGTGACCACCCTGCATGAAGGTGCAGACTACCGGTTGAGGCCGACAGTAGCAAGGATGAGGGACTCTTTCGAGAACGGATAAATATCAGTCATGCAATAGGTAAGCGGTACTCAAAACCCTGCTGACGCATTAACGAAGAGGAACTTGGAGATGTTCAAGATTCTTAACGGAATCATGCAGAGAGGTCTTCTAGAGGACGAGGTTCTTAAAGGCTCAAGGCGGATCAAAAGAGCATCGAGCAAGTCAATGTGACACTCGAACGCCTTTACTCGCTGTCGTCTTCCACTACCCTCATCCTCTTTGTCCTTCTAGCCACCAATTTATGTTCCGATGAAATCTTCTTCTTTTGTCTGCTGGTGCTGCGCTGTTTGCCAGACTTCTTCCGGTTTCTATTTGCTTTCCCGACCGGCTGCAGCTGCAGCTCCCTCACCTCAGCCACTTCGAAAGAATCACTTCCTTGTCCAAGACACGCACCCAAGACACCGGGTCGATTAGCAAGCGCAAAGTGCTCTACAGGGTCTAAGACGTGCCCCTTCAGGGCTTCGCGAACCAGTACGTTATCTAAACGCTCGCAAAGGGCGTCCAAGGCGACGATCCTTATCAGGAAAACGCCAGAAACTCGATCACCCATCCACTTACTGTGACCTTCCAAGATGGAGACATCGCACTTCTTGAGGCTGTATCTTCCAAGGTTCTTCTCATTCCACACTTGTAGTTCGGATAAGCTCCGAGCCCCTATGGGTCCCTTCGGGACATCTCAAGCGCTGAACCCTCGCCGACAACACAGCGCAACGCGTTGGCGAAGGACGCACGCGCGCACTCGCCGTGTTTTGTTCGGCAGAACACGGACTCGCGTGTACGATATGGCTGCGTCCGCTCCGTCACCTCGCGGTGACCAGGGCCTCCGATGGAAACAAAGTCGTCAGGGTGGCTGGTGCAGTACCGATCCAACCACTCCATAGTCTCGACTCTCTTCCGGAGTCCAAAGACCAGCTCGACTTCCGCGTTCGACTGCTCGTTCCACTTCACCACCTCCAGTTCGCTGGTGATGGGACTGCCTACCTCATCTAACATCGGCACGACGCTCGCCTCTAGACTATGGAAGTCCACTTTCCAAAATGTCTTCCGCCCGCCTACGCTTGTATGTGAACCGTAGTAACGTCCAGGGCGGAAGTCGTGGGTCTTCCCGGAGGCCAACACGACGCGTCGCACCTCCCAACGCCGTTGCTCGAAGTCCAACAATCCGACTTCGTTCAACAAACCGCACCTCTCCATCACTGCAACCTCCATCTTCCTGCTCTTTCTCTCCGCCAACCAAGAAAGAAGAACCCTCGACGCCTCCTGCCCTAGGCTGCGATTTTGCATGACCCTCTCCCGGCTGAAGATCTGTTCAATCCCCTGAACGACAAACAGAACCTCGCTTTACTTCCATTTCCCTCCTAGCCACGCCATCGACTCGACCGCACCCTTACCTTTCCCTTCCGTGAGTCACAGGCCCACCATCCAACGGGCAACGCACGACCACCGATCCCTGGCCTGCCGGCACTCTGTAGGTTCGAGGAGGTCGCGTGCGACTCGCGGATGAATAGGCCTGCGGAGATTGGGAGTTTCGGAGAAAGGGAAGCGTCGGTGTTCGGGAGGACGGCGAAGGTCAGAGGACAGTTGCGATAGACTAGAGTCGACAGGTGAGTAGCGGATGACGTGCGGAGGCCCGGCAGTGTGGACCTCAGGAAGGGCGGTGTGCTACGCGAAGCGACAAGCAGCGATCGCGAACGGGCTGTGTGAGACTGTGGCGAAGAGCGGCTAAAGCGAACGCCGCAAGTAGTGCTCGAGCTTGCGACGAGCGCGAGAGGAGGAGAGCGAGAAGAGAGAAGCGATGAAAAGGCGCACGTCGGAGCGCGGAGCGAGTAAACCTACGTCCGAGTGTTGGATCCGTAAGTGGATCTGGGTTATCACCGCCCGAGAGTTAGCGATCGAATCTCCGGTCGCGGCGGCGCGGCGTCAGGTCCGTATAGGATTGGCGCCGACGGCAGGATGGCCGGCGCCGCGCGCCCCAATTAAGGGCCAACAGGGGGTGTGTGGGAAGCTAGAAATTGAAGTTTATTTGGTTAGCCCTAAATCTGGGAAAAAGGGAAAATTATCCGGGCAACGCGCCGGCGGGAAATCCGGCGATATTAAAGTCCGAGGGCGGTATCCCGGCCGGCCCTCGGGGGTAACTTGCTACCCTCGGACAGCGCCTGCGAAATGTCGCGAGACTCTCCGTCCGAAGTACAGTATCCCCGCCCCCTCACTCTGGCGACTCCTTTCCCCCGCCGCTGCGCGCGACGAGCGCGGCTACAGTGCGCGAAACGCCAATAAATACACCCTCCGTCCCGCCCGTATTTCCGTATTGCAACCAGATTTTATAAAAGCACCTCTTCACCCGCCTCAACAACGTGCTGAAACGAACGATTCTGAAGTCGGATTGGGTGTAGCTCAAACCACCGCCCTGTTATTCATAAAAACCGTGCGAAATGCAAATAAATACACGAAACGCCATATGATACAGTACCAAAGACATATTTATTCTAGTACTTTGTCGCGCGCCCCTTGCTATCCAGTACTGCAAGCATGCATCTAGGAATGCTACGATACTGCTTCTGTAAAACTTCACATCTAGTAGTCGCCCAAACCTCTTCAATAACCTCTTTGAGTTGCGCAATTTTATCAAACTGTCTCTGGCGTGCGTAGACGCGGCGAGCCATAATGCCCCATATGTTTTGAATAATATTGAGGTATGGGGATTTCGCAGGCCAATCTATGGTCCTCACACTCCTTTCAGTAAGCCAGCTGCGCGTGAATGTAGACCTGTGCATGGATGCACCATCCTGTTGGAACACCCAGGTTGCCATTTCCCCATAAACCTCAGCAGCGAACGGGAGAAGAGCATGCTCCAGAGTCTCACAGTACCTTCTCGAATCTTGCTTTCTTTCCAAAAAAACAAAGGAGACAGTCCATACGGCGAAATTCCACCCCAAACGATCACGGAAGCGCCTCCATTTTGCCTTTTTGAAAACATCCGCTCCTCTGTGCGAAGGTCATCCCAATAGCTGGCTAATCCATCCGGTCCATCAAGGTTAAACTACTTCTCGTCGCTGAAGATAACCTTATTCCAAAATATGTCTCCCTTTCCAATAAAACGACGCACCCATTTGAGTCTGTTTTCGCGGTGACGTACAGTCATCATTGGGGCGTTAACCATCTTTTTATACTTCAGATGAGGCGTGGAACTTAATATTTGTTGCACGCGCCTTACTGCAATCGGGAAATCCATCTTGTTCTTCAAGTCGCGAGCTGAATACTCTCCTGAGCAAGCTTTTCTAATTAAAGCCTTTTCTTGACCCACGGTGATCTTCTGTCCTGTGACGTGTGCACGACGGCGGGAATGACGATTGGGGTTCTTTAAAAACCTTTGCACTGCCCCAACGGAGCGTTCTAAAGTTTGGGCGATGTCTCTTAGAGACAGGAGTTGGTGATGGAGAGCCAGGATTTGCCCTTTTTCATTGTCGGTTAAAGGTGGGCCTCTGGGCATGGTTTTTTTTGCAATGGGCGGGACGGGCTAGTGAACAGACGAGGAAGATGATCTCTTTCTTGTAAGGTTTGTTCTGTTTTGAATAATGGTTTATCGTGGATCTTCCCGCCCTTTTGGGTACTGTATCATATGGCGTTTCGTGTATTTATGTGCATTTCGCACGGTTTTTTATGAATAACAGGGCGGTGGTTTGAGCTGCACCCGATCCGACTTCAGAATCGTTCGTTTCAGCACGTTGTTGAGGCGGGTGAAGAGGTGCTTTTATAAAATCTGGTTGCGATGCGGAAATACGGGCGGGACGGAGGGTGTATTTATTTGCGTTTCGCGCACTGTACTACTAACCTCATCGTTCCCGTTCTCCCACAATATTGTAATGCACTCCTGTATTTTTGAAGTTTTTCAACGAATTATTATTTTCTAATGAATTATTTTTGTCGAAACTTTATGTCAACAGCATACCAGACCCTGTCGTTTTATGGTCCTGTGCTGGCTGCAAAACATAAATTGTCGACGAGCGTTCAAACAACCTAGTTGCGCGTTCATCTCTGATCAGAAGGTTTGCTGCCTTTTATTCTTGTCTTGCTTCCATGTGTGCGTGGTTGTGTTGAATCTGCTTCATGACGTTTGCAGAATAAATTCTTCAGCGATTGTCGCGAACGTTCCTCGACACATTGTTGCGACTTGAGAGAGGCTTTTGTCACGCTGCAGACGGCGACTCAAATGACGGAAGATAGGCGGCTTCCCCGAGTGTTCCTCCGCGGCTTAGAAGCGGATTTGCGCGCTCTCTGTGCAGACGCACGAAAACGGAATCCGGAATTGAAAGACGACGCAGAGCGTGTCATCTTATCTTTAAAGGAGGCTGATACAGTTGATTCAGAAAGGGAAGCAGCTGATGAGGCCGCTTCCGTATTTTGCCAAGCGTGCGAAACGCTTGATCTAAAAACTGGAAGTAGTGCGCTGAACCTGCAAGTGAAGGTTGCATTGAGAGCTGTGTCTTGTCTTCACAAGTTACTATCCCATCGCGCATTGTCACCAGAGCGTCTACCTGAAGTATTGGACGCCCTACAACAACTTAGCTCTCCCCCACAAGATGACAATTTGACTCTTAAAGTCCTGCAAGGTTTGTTGAGCCTTCTGACCGTACGTTCTTACGCCAAGGCGTTGTGTGAGGAGGATCTATCGCGGGCGTTTTCGCTGCTTTTCACCTTGCGTACGTCCCGATCGAATACTGGTGGAACGGCTGCATCCAATGCATTATCTGCCATATCCCAACTGTCTAATGGAAGTGATGCGGGCGTCATCGAACAGACTTCGAAAGCGGCCTTCCGTCAGGTTTCATCAGACCTATTTGCGTCTGCATCAGACTCTGCTTTGAGGACGGCAGTTGAAAAGCAGTCGCCGTCTGGGGCATTCATTCCTTTGTCAGAATTTCCATGCGAAGCAAGAGCCGCACACAACCTCTTTTTAGACCTGTGCTACGCGGCCTCAAATGAAGAGCTATCATGGCTCGCATACGAAAAGAGTGCAAATTCTTCTTTTCGAGCTCTAGATTTGGCGCTGGCGTTAGAAGTCATTGACGATGGTCTCTCCAACAACATTTCGCTTTTCGCTGGACAACAGGTGTTTTCTGATGTCCTTTCCAGCCGACTTTGTCCAGTTCTTCACAAGCTAATTCGGACGATAAAAGACAAATCAACCATGAAGTCCTTACTCGGTCTTGTGGTTACGATAACGCGCAACTACTGGAGGATATTGCGACCGGACTGTGAAGCACTTCTTTTTACCTTGACAAAAATGTCTTCGACGTCGAAGATATCATCAGGAGACGAGATTCCTTGGGACTGCATGTACGCGATGGAGTCTTTGAGATGCATTGTAAAAGTTGTTCCTGGTGAACCTACTACCCTTGTTGATTTCACCCAAGCCTTTGATCTTCAGGAGGGTACCGGAGACTTGGCGGCCAGCATCGTGGCTACATCTTGCGATGCTATGGAATTGGTAAACAGGGGAGATATTACGCCTTTACCATCTTCGCCGTTGAACAGCACAATGAAGCCTTTCGCCAACACTATGACCAACTCATATGACCACTTGATTTCCATCGCAACAGGCCTCTATTTGGAAATCATAAATGGGGCGAAAGAAGCCGCCAAGAAAGGGCTGGATGTTGTCGCCTGTACTCTATTGAAAGACGACTCTACAGAGAGGGCTATTCGCGTCCTTGAACAGATTCTCACCGATTCTCCCGGGATAAGCAGTGCGAGAGGATTACGTTTAGACGTTGACGGGCCTTTCGGTGCGGTCGAGGCGCTGTGTCGGGCTCTCGGTGAAATTGCGGTGATTGCAACAAAGTGCCAACTTGATTCTTTACGGGAGGTGTCTCTAGGCGCGCTATCTGGCTCCTGCATGGGCATCATACGGAATCGGCGAGCAACATATGTCACTGAAAATGGATTTGCGAAAAAGATAGGAATAATGTATGGTGTACTTTTCGAAGTGCAGGCCAGCTGCCGAGAAAGTTTGGGTCAGTCCTGGCTTCCTGTGATGGAGGCATTGGAGTATCTTGACTTTTTGATTCGGAAGGTGGAGGCAGTTGTCGAAAGAGAAGAATCTCCCCTGCCAGCCGTCCTTGGGAAGTTGAAGCCACAGTTTGATCGTGTTTTTACCGTCACAAATGAACTGCAGTGGTCTTCATGTCATGACATGATAGCGGCTTTGGTTCAGTGTTCGCGCCACTCCGTTTCCGCACTCTCAAAGCGGAGCAATACTGATGACCAGGGGAAAACTGACGCCAGTACGAGCTTGAGAGTCTTTGGAATTAGCAAAGCAGAAGTCACAATTGTCAATGCACTTCAGCGGCACAACACGGAGGCCGATCCCATTCCATGCAAGTTGTGGCAGCTGCTCACCGGTCATTTGACCTCAGTTTGCAATGACTCTGTGTTTCCGTCACTGCGCCAGTTTGCTTTGAGCTCATTGACAACAATAGCATGCGCAGCCATCCCGAGTGGAAGCCCCAACGTTATTGGCCATGAAAAAATTGTAATGCCCTTTGTGGATCTTCTCACGTCATCCCATTTAGATGTCCGGCTGGGTTCCCTTTCTGCAGTATATACAGTCATGGTGACACAGGGCGAGCGTTTAACGGGGGAGGCAGCCTGGACTGCAGTTTTAAAAATACTGAGCATCGCGGCAGGCTCCACATTTGCACCTGGAACGAATGAGCATGCTGGTAAGGCCAAGAAATGGTCAAAAAATCGACCGTCCATGCAGGCTAGCGGTTCTGGACAAGGACCTGCTCTTGAAATGATGTCAGAGGCATTCAAAATTGTCCAAGCCATAGCCGACGACTTTTTGAGTTCACTAGTTGACAGCACACTCCCAGGATGGATTGAGATTCTCGGCCTCTATTCCCGGCAGGATGACGATGTCAATGTTGCGTTGACTGCAATTGGTTTATTGTGGCGGACTGCCGATTTTTTCGCGAAGAACACTAACCTGCAGGATACAGATGAATTATGGATTCAACTGTTTGAGACGCTGAAAGGTATCAGCACAGACGATAGACCGGAAATCAGGAATTGTGCTGTGAAGACTCTAACAGGTAGCCTTTCAACTCATGGTCTTCAACTCTCAGCGATGGCCTGGAAAGGGTGTGTTGCTCACGCATTATTACCACTTTTGGAAGAAGTAATGCGTGGTCGAGCGCACACTTCCCAAAGCGATGAAATATCCTCTCTTGGAAAGAGTCGCGGAGATGTGCAGCTTTTATTGCACCACAGTCGCGATACACCTCGAAAGCAATGGAATGAGACCAGGGTGTTGGCATTAGCAGGTGTTGCTAAGGTGTTACGAGCTGCACTTCCTAGACTTACTGAATTGAGGGATCAGGCTGAACAGCCACTGTTCTTGATGCTCACTGATGGGGGAGCAGATGGTTTGTGGAGAAAGATGCTAAGAGCTGCAGGCGTTGCCGCTGGTAGTCGAGATGGTGAAGTTGCGATAGCCGGTGTTGCAGCATTAATAGAGCTGCTGCGAGCTGCTGGATTCGCCGCTACCGAGGTACAAGAAAGAGAGAGCATGTCACATTCTCCAAAGGCTGTTTCACCCGCTGACGCGGCCGCTATCAAGGGGCAAGCAGTTAGTGAAGGTACAACGTCATCATGGATTTCCGGCGTAATCGGAGGGTCTTCGGTCAATGATCATGACACAGCTAATCTCAGAGACTCCAACTCGAATACAAGTAGAGACAGTTCTCAGAGCACAATTTTAATGTGGGAGGCAGTTTGGAGTGCGATAGCGGAGGCGATCGGCGTCGCAGACGAAGACGGAGCCCGAAGGCCTTGCGAGGGCAGCGCGGTCAATGAGGAGTCGAAAATTGTTGATGAAAAAGCTTTGCAGATGCTTGCCGAGGGTATCCTGGATGCAAGGGATAGACTAAGCAGCAAGTTCACGTCAAGAAGTTCGAAGACATTGGTTCATGTCTTACTGCACTTGGCTCGAGGTGCACGAACCCATCAAGCCGCACTGGCGGACCAAAACAGTTCTAACTTGACGCTCGTTCAAGAAAAAACTTTGGCAGGGATGCGGACGCTGTCCTTTGGGAGCGACACCGCAAGTTGGGTGGGCCTTATGAACGGTTTGTTGCAAATTCTTGAAGAGCAAGGGGACATGATCAATCAACCGATGAAATTAGAAAGACAGGTTTTGGAAATAATAGGTCACTTGTACGCAAGCGACGATGTTCCGTCAGAGGTGAAGACGTCGAAACTGCGCTTTGTATTGGAAACGGTTGGGAAGGTGATGCTGCTACGGGGTGTTTCCGAAGAAACAGTTGGAAACCAAGCCTCGTCCAGCAGAAGTAATGGTGCATATATCGTTCCAATTGATAGCCAGAGCGGTGCACCTCTCTGGATTTCGGCGACGGAAGTTGTAATGATGGCAATGAAATGCGGAAATGATTATCAGTACGGCGCACATAGTGATGAGGTGTGGGATGCTTTTGTAGGCATTGTGGAAGAGTTTCTCTACTCTCCACATCGCGTGCAACGAGAGCCGGAATATCGTCGAGATATTGAAGAAGGCGATCGCGCCGAGAAGTGCGATATCATACTTACAGGATGTGTTCAAGAGGCGCTGAGTGCAATGGACTTGAAGACGTCATCGCCAAAGACTCAGAGACGGCTTGTTGGACTCCTTGCCAAGGGAGCTGAAGAGGGCAAGGCGAGCGGACGACCTCGATATGTGCGTTCATGTCAGAAGCGTCTATTCAAGCTAGCAAGTGGGGTGTGGGCGGGCAGAGTAGAAGTGAACGCCGAACTGGTGGAAAGCGTTGCTGAGGACTCAAACCAGTGTGTAGTTGAAATGTGCGGGCGAGTGCTTGGTCAATTTATCGCAGATGGACAAAGAGCAGGACGATGCCCGCTTCCCGCGGCGAGGCGGGCGGAAGCTGTGTTTTTGCTACAGCAACTAAGAAGACTAAATTCACACAACGCAAAGGGAGAGGATGCATTCTCAAAAAAGCACCTGGTTGTTTTATACCCGCGTTTGTGTGAGTGTGTGGATAGCAGAGACGAAGCCGTGCGACAGCTTGCTAGGGAGCTCCTCGACGCGACAGCGCCTGCCGGTGCAAGGGAACGGGGACCTAGCGAGTATAAGGGTATCCAAATCAAGACACATTAGCAAGGTACCGTCGGTCCATGGAATTGGAGTAGGCCTGTGCAGTACGATACCAGTGATACGCAGTGGGCCGCTCACGCACAATTTACGATAGTGCCGGTTAGGGCTTCTTGTGCGTTTTGGGCGAAGCCAAGTATGTTTAAGTGGAGACGTACTTCGCTCAGTGTTGTACGAACAAACACAGCGGGGCACACAGAAGATGGAGTGGGCAATATCTCTTGGCCTTGACTACGCACCTTGTAATTCTCTTGGTAGAGAAATGCTACGTATTGTACAGTATATATTCGTACAGTAGACATGGAGATCGTCCTTTATTGGATGCGAAGTCGTGCAGACGCCATTTCACAGAGCAGATTTATTGATCATTCCTGGATAGGGTGCGATACGTCCTCGAGATGAAATGGTATGCACGCGAGAATAGCAGTGGTGATTGTGGACTAGATGGCGTAAATGATGCACTGGAGGAGGGGGGCTTCTCGGTGCCGCAGGAGCAATGCGCTCAGATGTCAATGCGGCGAGCAACTCGTTGCGGACTGGTAGCGACCGGGGAGCGAGGACGCAGTGCATGCGCTGAGGGGCAGCCTGTTTGGCACAGTCGCCCGCTTCGGCGGCGCCTGCCGAGTGTTGTGCGGCAGCGCGGATGATGGCCTGCGAGTAGAAGCTGCAGACTGCGACACCGTATGATGTCGGTTTGCTCGGAAAGCAGCCCGGATGGAGGGGGGCAAGGCTGGACCAGAACGTCGGCGGGGATTTATCGAGCTTGTACTGTATGGCGTGAGAGGTGCCAGGGGCGTTACAAGCATGTCCCTTTTCTATCAGTGTGCAACGCCTTTCTTAACAGGGACGTTCTGAATTCATAAAGCTGTGGAGGCAGCCTCTGCCTAGGGCTGGAAGGTCCCTGTCTCGCACAGCCGCACAGTCGCACAGTCGCACAGTCGCAATGTACAGCACTTCGGGGAGCTGCATTGGAGCGTTTTTTTGCATGTGCTGAGATGTTTTGTTGTGGCCATTTGGCCCCA